CGAGAAGGTCAGGAATTTTAAGAGTACCGTCCTGACATCTTACTCGCGGCTCTGTCTCGCATATCCACCCTTTTTTTTCAGCTGCTTTTCGAAGATACATAACGAGCTGGCTATGTCTCTTAATTCGGTGCCAGTGCACTGCAAGCTTGTTCTAAAGATCGTGGCTCAAACTTTCGTTACGTTCGCATCCCTTTCGGCACTTACTTTCATATGAGGGGTTTAAAGGGATCCCTCTAGTTGGCCGATGGTTTCCTCTTAGCTGCATCACCTTAACGTAATTTCTCCCCGACCAGTGGGGTGGTAGATTGCTTATCCAGGCAGAGCTTTTGAGGTGTGAAGAGCCCTGTCAAAGTCCGTTACCCCTATAACCGTCCTCAAGTTTCTGGCGTATTTAAGTCGGATTGTGTTAACATCTCCTCAACCATTTCCGTGATTCAATGTGGCCCACCTCCCCTCTTTCTTTACAGTAGATTCTATTGGTCCCCAATTATCACAAACCACCAGTGCCACAGTATTTGACATATATGTAATGGTATATACTGCGCTACCGGTTACTCTCTGTCTGAGGCAGCACACCGCGCCCAGGAGAGAGATGAATATATAGCAACCATTCGTCAAATACCATAACGTCACCACATCCTTACGAAGGATAAAGGATAGATGAGGAGGATATACTGCGGTATCATCTAGTTAGAATCTATGGAGAAGCTATGAGCATATTAACGTATGTATTAAAAACGGCGTAGGTAGGCGTGGCTAACGATAATACCAATATGGCGGTGGGATCAGGGCCAGACTCAATAATATTAAAACTACTATACAAATACGACTAGTTATTCAGAAGATTTAATCATAATCTAAAAAAGTGCAATACATTTTTAATAAACTATAATTTATTTATCCTGCGGTAAATACTAAAAACACGATATATTATACATAAAAATAAATTAATACAGTCAAATACTATTAATTTATTCTCTGAAGTACGGGCCATTACTTTGTTTACATATTTGTATACTAACCTGTGGAACGATATTCCTGAAGATTTTTCATTAACATTGTTTCTGCTACTGCAACTACGTTGAGAACAAGAAACCATTATTATGCACTATCACAATATATTACAGTTTCTATAAGAGTATTATAGAACTAAAAATATTCGAAAAACAACAAATGTAAACATACGACCTGTCAAAAGTGTCAACACAATATTAACAATATGGCCGAAGTGAGGTCGTTTTTAGTCACGTGATGCCCTCTCCATAGATTCTAACTCGATGTGCGGTATCCATATCCTGTGAGCAAGTGCGTCAAGAAGTAATCTAGACGTCATTGACCAAGTCCGTCTATGTTTTCAGGTTTGGAATCAGCAACTTTGTCCACTGCGTCACATTTTTTATCTCATCCCATTCCCCTAATCATATTGGAAAAAATATCAGAGAATCTTGCGATCAAAAGGACTGTATATTGTTGTGGTTCTCAACATAAAAAAATAAAATACGTTGTTACAATGACATGACAATATTGGTTCTTTTTATGTGACCGTCCCTCTAACCGCTAGCGTCACTTCAGTCCACATACGCACAACAAACCATCCGTTCTTCCCGGGCGGAACCACCAGTGTTGAGCAAGCACAGAGGCGGGCTAAGAAACCGTACACATATTTTGATTGACTTTTTTCTATTTTACATTTTTAGAGCTTTTTTCCCTCTAATGCTTACCAGGATGTGTAAACCTAGGACGAAAATACAAATAAAACATTTATATTTTAAAAACATCCATATTATCCATTTGGGTAGCTTCTAGTCTAATCATGCTACTTTTCTTCTGAATTGGTATTATCCTGCATTCATCTTTCTGTTGTTTTTCTCGAGTCATAAACTCGTCTGAGACTCGTCTGAGCGTGACTCGAGTCTGAGGGTCATAAACTTCTACTTTTCTGAGATCGTCTCGTACAATGTCAACATCTTTTACTTGGTCGTCATTTCCTTTTTTTCTTGATTGGGTTCCGTTTTAGGACTATCTTTGGTATCCTCTCATTATCCATTATCAGCATAATATGTCCCATCCATCTAACTCTTTACGATCGTATGATTCCATGTTCATTATCATGTTCTAGCTCCTTATTTCTTCGTCATACCCAACCTTCCACTCCTGTTTTTAGCACCATATATAGCTCTGAACATATTTCTTTTCCACAGTTTCAATTTCTCCTCATCTGATTTTTTATTGTAAAAACTTCACTCCCATATGACACTGTGCTGTTTTTCTCGATGTACAGAGTGGCCCAAAAACGGAAACTGGAAACGGCTAATTATCTCGTAAAATGCTAATCATAATTGTACAAAATTTGAGGTACACCTATTTTGGGATACGGAGATTCCATATTTGATATTTACAATGTTGCCAAATTTGCCGTTTTTCTCATATTATTAGTAACTTTGGTTTTTCAAATACATCACCCTGTATATTCAGTCATTATTGGAATCTCCTATTCAATACGAGTTCAACCATATGTAACACTTATGATTTTATGTAATCTGGAAGGTCATAAATACATAAAACCGAAGTCTGGCAACGCCTAAATTGTTTCAATACATTTTTTAATACTAACTATTTTCAAATACATTAAAACGTAACAATTGATAGTTTAGAACATTTTTTAACATAGTAGTTACGTTATTAAGTGTTCAAAATGGGCTCAGTTTGTGAGTTGACAGCACCCTAATCGATGGTAGAAGGCGTCTACCACAGTTCTCCATGATTGTCTAGAAATTATTCGAGATTCATTGATAATTCGTTGCCTTAGCTCTGCAAGACTTGCTGGTTAAGTTTTGTAAACTGAATTTTTCAAGTATCCCTAATAAAAATAATCTTTAGGATTGAAATCGGGTGAACGTGGAGGCCATTCAATTCTACCTTGTCTACCAATTTATCGTCCAGGAAATATCTCATCTAAATATCGCCGAACATTTACACCAACTATCTGACGTTAAATTTCTTTCGACAAAAAATGACCCAATTGAATAAGTAACTACTATATCTGACCATACATTTAATTTTTGTGGTCTTTGAGTATGGTTTTCACGCATTCAGTCTTCAGTGTGAATTTACGTCACACCAGTACCTTAAATTGTGTCGATTTACACTTCCACACAGTGTAAAAGTTGCTTCATCGGAAAACCATATTCTGTTAACGAAATTATAATAATTTTCAATTTTATCCATTATTTACCTCAGTAAACTCTAATCTACGACCAAAGTCGTCTTCACTTAATTCTTGCAAAAGTTAATTTTGTATGATTTAAATTTATTTTTACGTAATAAACGTAAGACTGAAGAATGACCTACATCATGTACTTGTGCAGCCCTGCCTGGGGATCTATGTGGATCTTCAACAAAACTTTGCTTATATCTGAAGTTTTGTTGTGATTGATAACTCGTTTCGGTCAACCGATCGGTATCTATCTTTTACTTCTCCAGATTCCTCAAATCGCCTTACAGTTTTTTGTACCATCGTCTTATGAATAGGAGAACGGTTTAGAGAACGGCATTTTAGAGAAGCAATTTAAATTGCAGAACTTTTTGAACCACAACTACTGTCAATTTTAGTTCATAATTTAAATGGTGAATAAATGTCAAAATCACAGCATTCTCCATTTAAATATTTAAATTTATTAAAATCTACATATTTCGCACTGTTTTATGTATTTAAGATCTTTCAGACTACATAAAATCAAGTGAACGTATGGTTGAACTCGTATTGAATAGCTGAACTCGTGTGAAATTTACACTGAATGCGTGAAAACCATACTCAAAGACCACAAAAAATAAATGTATGGTCAGTTATAGTAGGTACTTATTTAATTGGGCCATTTTTTATCGAAAGAAATTTAACGTCAGATAGTTGGTGTAAATGTTCGGCGTTATTTAGATGAGATATTTCCCGGACGATAAATTGGTAGACAAGGTAGAATTGAATGGCCTCCACGTTCACCCGATCTCAATCCTAAAGATTATTTTTATTAGAGATACTTGAAAAATTCAGTTTATAAAACTTAACCAGCAAGTCTTGCATAGCTAAGGCAATCAATTATCGATGAATCTCGAATAATTTCTAGACAATCATGGAGAAATGTGGTAGACGCATTCTACCATCGATTAGAGTGCTGTCAACTCACAAATGAAGCACATTTTGAACACTTAATAACGTAACTATTATGTTAAAAAATATTCTAAACTATCAATTGTTACGTTTTAATGTATTTGAAAATAGTTAGTATTAAAAAATGTATTGAAACAATTTAGGCGTTGCCAGACTTCTGTTTTATGTATTTAAGACCTTCCAGTCTAAGTGTTACATATGGTTGAACTCGTATTTAATAGGAGATTCCAATAATGACTGAATATACAGGGTGATGCATTTGAAAAACCAAAGTTACTAGTAATATAAGAGAAACTGAAAATCTGGCAACATTGCAAATACCAAATATGGAATCTCCGTATCCCAAAATAGGCGTATCTCAAATTTTGTATAATTATGTCTAGTAATTTACGAGATAATTAGCCGTTTCCAGACTTTTGGGCCACTCTGTATATTTGGATTTTATCAGTGATCAGTGAATATACTTCCCTTTTTTATTTCTCTTGGCAAATCTGGCTCTTCGTTTTAATTATTGTTATTTCTCTTCTATAATAACGCCCAGATAAGTAAAATGCCGCGCCAATAAATAAAATATAAGAAACCTACGACACAATATAACAAATCAAAATATTTACTTGTTTCTAATACGTGCGAAAAAGCTTCAATTTACAATTGTTTTGATTTTCTTTATTTTTATTATTTTGCAATGTATGTGTGTTCGTAAATGTAAAGCACCTTGTTTTTCTGTCTCTTTCCACTATGTGCACCCGCCTAGCTTCCGACGGTCGCTTTTACCACCATCACGATCATGAGCTAACCCCAGGTCTTTCTAATGGTAGTACCTTGTCCCGTACAGATGGAGCTGCAACCGAGGATGAAGACGACGACGACTGGCGGGAACACGAAGCCAGCCGAACACACTCCGTCAAATTTACCGATCCACAAGAAAAGGACAATCGAGAGGTGAGCAGTACCTTACATACTACGTTGCGGTATATGGTGGGGGTAATAACTAGGTGTAAGGATAGCGTGGTAAGGTGGTGTTGCACGGCTAGACCGGGCAATTTGAGCCGCAGTAACAGCTACTACATGCTGAATACTCTGAGGGAGTTGGATCAGATTTATAATTCTAGGTCTGAATATGCGAACGATTGACAAACGGCCATTGGCGATATTAATGTGGAAGCCAGAGTGTAGACCTTGGAATCGGTTTGTGTTTGAAGTAAGCAGAATGTACCAATAGATAGTAGGATTGGAAAATAACACCAAAGTTATTTATACTATTTACATTTTCACCCGTGTTGTTTATAGTTATTTTGTCGTGATTACTCCTCTAGTAATACTGACATGTGAACGTACTATAATAATCCATTTTTATTTATTAATTGGCTGTGTTTGTATTGAATATGTAAAGAAAAATTCTAGTTTATGATTAGCTACGCAATGATATTTATACAATTTTTATTGAAAAATCCTTTATAAAAAGTATATAATTACAATACCCTATCGGTCTACATCACAGAACGTTTTCGGACTACAGTCCATCCTCAATCTAATATTACCAGGTATACATGAGTCCAACCACTAAATATCTGGGTAAAAACCCTTAAAAAACAAAATTTGTTTTGTTTTAGTTACCATTTTACATTACGTTACCCATTCAGCCAAGGTCTGAGGGTCAGCAACAACCCCTATTGGCAGTCTTACGTTGCCATGTAGGATATCTGTTAAATACTTTAACGTATTTTAACAATAATGTAAAACAAAACAAATTTTGTAAGGGTTTGGTTGTTTAAGGGTTTTTACCCCGATATTTAATGATTGGGCTCATGTATACCTGGTAATATTACACTGATGATGGACTCTTTAGTCCGAAAACGTCTCGTGATCTAGCCCGAAATGTTTTTTTTAATTGTATACCTTTTATCAAGGATTTTTTAATAAAAGTTTTTTGATTTAGGGTATACAGCCAACTACAGGAATTTCATTTTCCTTGTGGATATTTATACATTCTGTGATGATCTCAAACAACAATTAGAATTTCCAAGGGATTACACCGTAACAGGACATTAGGTTATTTAAGAAGTTATAGTAGGTTTTATATGATAGTGCCTTTAAGAAATACAATTTACGTCCATAAAAAATATCTTGACGTCCAAATAAGGTGCTCTTTTAACAAATTACATTTACAATAATATAATTTTTATGATGGCAATGTATAATTTCGAACAAAATATTACTCTCTGTTTCAGTTCACGCTTAAATTTTGTATTTTTTCTTTTCTTAACTGCCAAATATGTTTTTGGGATTTTAATATAAATTGTTATAGCAAAATTTCTTAACGCTTGATATCTTGAGTACTTTCTAGTTTGATGATATTCAATCATCATCATCATTATCGTCTCAAGATGTAATCATTACATGGAGTACGTCGAAATGAGCTCTTTCATTACACTGCTCCCCTCTTAGATCTGAGCGTCCCGATCAGCAACTCTATATGTAGGACGAAAGACACAATCTCTTCTGGTTAATGCAACACACAGTAATTCGTACGTCGGTTTCTCCTATCACTTCAATCATGCTTCTGACAATCTTAAAAATCCAGATTTTCTAGTGCGTGGCCTATCTTGGGTAAGGCCAAATTCTTAATTCTTCTGTCATAATTGCACACGATTTTCTTCAAATTAGTTAGAGCACGCCATATATCCTCGTAGCTTCCCTTGTCTGTATATGACTTTCTAGTCACCATACAGCAAATATCGAGGACCATCTTCTAATCTCAGTACTCTTCCAACTTTAGGCTGCTGATTTCTAACTCGTCCAAACGACCGAACTTCTTATAAAATACGGACGAGATTCCTTTACGCATGTCAAGGTCTTTGACAACAGAGTGAACTTAAGAGACGTTATGCGGAACACTAAATGAAAGGAACAGATTCTGCTGAACTTCTGTGGTCACGCCGAATTCAGTACTCTTCCTCTCTGCGTAATTTGACAAATTCATTAAAGCTTGGTCGCCAGTCATCTTTGATCTCATGTTGAAGTCTATATGCTTCTTTGTTTCATTTGAGCCAACATAGACGCTGTGAAGCTTGACTAGCTGTTTCGTGTTCGAACGCAATGGTAAGCGCTTTCTGTTGTTCACTGACTCTCAACTCATTGATTAAGGTATCTACAGCAATTTATTCAAATATGTGGTCCTTGTACTATACGAGCAACATCTGCTTTAAACTCTTGCAAATTCTCATTTTCCCGTAGAATTCTACTTTCTTTTGGTACTTTGTAGACTTGTTGTAGATGGGCATCTCCGCAACGTTTGTCTAGTCGAGTGAACAAGGTCTGGTAACATTTTTCTTGACGCTTAGAAATCGATCTTAGGATATCCGTAACATCGCCTCGTAAAGTAGCAGTCAAGGAAATAGCCTTTTCTTGTTCTCTCCAATGATTGTCTGTCGCAATAGCTTCAAATTACCTAAGGTATATGGACCAAGAAGACTTCTCATCAAATGGTGGCAATTTGAATCTCGTAAAAAACAATATATAAACAATGTAATTTTGGTTACTGCAGAGTGTTGTCCAATCTTTACCATTCGGTTAATTTAGTTGTTGCCTTAGAATCACAGATTCTATAACACATCAAATCATGTATTAGATTTGCGTTAATACGGGTTACTCCTCTCTGAATGCTATGATAGTATTAATTTTCTCAGTGCAAATGTGTTGTAATATCATGGAATCTGGGTTCACTTGAAAGGCGGGTTCTTTGAGTATGGTGCCACTAATGTTTGTTTACTCAACACGTTGTGTTCAGAGTCAAAAAGGCTAACGAAATGTCTACACCAGGAAAGACCAACTATAGCCTCTAATGATGCTGTTTCTGTGTTTTCAGAGCTCCTATAATATTCAGAAGCGTCTATCTCTGTAGAGTCGTGAGACTGGCTGTAAATGTCTGTGCCACCATTTTTCTTTACGATGGCACGGATCCATTTATTACATTGGTCGTATTACTGTTGTGTACAATCCACAGGTTACCTTTGGTTCCATCTTCCAACAACTACAACTCTTACAGTAGGGACTGTTTTAGCATTCAGACGTTTGTGTTAGAGTTCGAGTTTTGTGTTTCTAGCTTTTTATTATTAATTTTTATCTACAATTTTTGTGCTTCTTTAATTTGCCTTTGAGCTCTTACTCTCTGAATATCCTGGGTGTATAGACCAAAAATGTAATTATGTTTTTCTCTAAAGGATTATTGATAACAAAACGGGAGAATAAATTTTATTTTTCCTACAATAATTTATTATGCGTTTGAAACATTTTTGCAAAATGTTATTTTCTATGTTTACCTCCATCTTTTTTCCAACATGGGTTGTATTTCTTTATTCCACCATTTTTTTTATGATATTTATTAAGATATGGTTTTATATTTTTTTGTATTGAATATTCTCAGCTCTGTTTTATTATTTAAATAGAAGTTGTTATTTTTAAAGTTTTTGAAGGAAATCAAACTGAGCACTAATTGAAACAAATCAGTAAATACTTTGTTGTTAAATTATATCGTCCAAATAGAATACATTTGTGAAAAAAATGGGCCAGTTCGGTTCTGAACTCTCTTACATAACCTAAAATTGTCCAACGCCGACCAATATCAGTGTGAAATATCGCCGACGATACTTATATGGTTATTTTCTGGCATATATTTTTATTGTGATGACATAAATATATCGAATTGGTTTTGTATAAAAAGAAGAACGTTTTTTATACAATTCTGTAACTTTCTGTGATAACGAAGGTTAACCATTTAGTTTTAAGCACTTAAACCCAGTGATAGTAGATGACAGTCTCGGAAATGTTTTATATTCTTTTTTTTTAGATCAATCAGTATTTTTCTCCAAAGATTTCTCCAATGTATTAGTAGAAAAGATTTTTTTTAAGTACAAGTTGACTTTACAGGGTTGTGTAGACGCGAAATAACAAAAGATATAAACATTTCTACAAATACTGTTCGTACTACTAGCAAACCGAGATATTTTTATTATTAACATTATTATATTCAGCAGCCGATGCTTCCAGGTTTTCCGAAGAGTTCATTATTTAGAAATTAATTTAATTAGTTCACATTGGTGTTTTTTCTGGTACAGTCCACATTTTTATCAGAATTTTATATTTTCTGAAATAATTCTCTATAATAATAGCTTTATAATAGCAAATATTGGATCGAAAGTAGTCTGTATATATTTCCTTCTTAATTTGTTTCATTTTTATTGGTTTTTTATTTCTTCATTTTTTTTTGTTTGATCATTCTTCCTATTTTTCTTAGTATTCCGTAGAAGTATTATTTGCAAATTATTTATTCAATAAAAACAAGAAGATATCAGCCCCTTCTATTCATTATATTATAGATACAGAGTGGTCCAAAAGTCTGGAAATGCCTATTTTTAAATCTATGGTCTGAATTATACAAAACCAGGAATACACCCATTATGCAATATGAAGATTTGAACTTTGATGTTTTTAACGTTGCCAGATTTACCATTTTTCTTATATTATTAGTCACTTTGGTTTTTTAAACACGACACCCTGTATATTGTACCTTTATTTTACCTTTACTTTAATCGTATTGAAATCTCAATTTCAATACGATTTTAACCGTATACAATACTTTCGATTTTTTATATTCAGGAGCATCTTAAAAAGATAAAACAAAAGCCTAAAAACATCTAGTCTGTATACGGCGTCTGGCTATTAAATAACGAGACTGTTTATGAAAGAGTTTTATTTTAAAAATTATTCTACAATCGAATGCTCTCCTTCAATATATTCCCCTTCCCTCGCCACAAACCGCTATATTCGTTTTTTCAATAGGTCAAAGCAATGCTAGAAGTTTTCTTTTGTTAGAGCTTTTAGGAGCTCCGCCGTTTTTCGCTTCACCTCTTTCATTGACTCGAACCGGATTCCTTTTAAGG